CAAAATTCAGCAGCTTTTTTTTTTTTGCTAAAAACCCTCAAAAAACTAGGTATTGAAGGAACATTTATCAAAATAATAAAAGCTATTTATGACAACCCCACAGCCAATATCATACTGAATGGGCAAAAAACTGGAAGCATTCCTTTTGAAATCTGGCACTAGACAAGGATGTACTCACTCACCACTCCTATTCAATATAGTATTGGAAGTTCTAATCAGAGCAATCAGGCAAGAAAAAGAAATAAAGGGTATTCAAATAGGAAAGGAGGAAGTCAAATTGTCTCTATTTGCAGACGACATGATTGTATATTTAGAAGACCCCATCATCTCAGCTCAAAATCTCCTTAAACTGATAAGCAACTTCAGCAGTCTCAGGATACAAAATCAATGTGCAGAAATTATAAGCATTCCTATACACCAATAACAGACAAACAAAAAGCCAAATCAAGAGCAAACTCCCATTCACAATTGCTACAAATAAAACAAAATACCTAGGAACACAACTAACAAAAGATGTAAAGGACCTCTTCAAGGAGAACTACAAGCCACTGCTCAAGGAAATAAGAGAGGACACAAACAGATGGAGAAACATTCCATGATCATGGTTAGGAAGAATCAATATCATAAAAATGGCCATACTGCCCAAAGCAATTTACATACTCAGTGCTATCCCCATCAAACTACCAATGACCGTCTTAATAGAACTGGAAAAAAACACCTTAAACTTCATATGGAACCAAAAGAGAGCCTGAATAGCCAAGACAATTCTAAGCAAAAAGAATAAAGCTGGAAGCATCATGCTACCTGACTTCAAACTCTACTACAAGGCTACAGTAACCAAAATAGCATGGTACTGGTACCAAAACAGAGATACAGACCAATGGAACAGAACAGAGGTCTCGGAGGCAATGCCACACATCTACAACCATCTGATCTTTAACAAACCTGACGAAAACAAGCAATAGGGAATGGACTCCCTGTTTGACAAATGGTGTTGGGAAAACAGGCTAGCCATGTGCAGGAAACAGAAACTGGACCCCTTTCTGCTACCTTATACTAAAATTAACTCCAGATAGATTAAAGACTTAAACATAAGGCTAAACACCATAAAAACCCTAGAAGAAAACCTAGGCAAAACCATTCAGGACATAGGCATAATCAAAGACTTCATGACTAAAACACCAAAAGCATTGGCAACAAAAGCCAAAATAGACAAATAGTACCTAATTAAGCTCCAGAGCTTTTGTACAACAAAAGAAACAATCATTAGAGTGAACTGGCAACCAACAGAATCAGAAAAAATTTTTCAATCTACCCATCTGACAAAGGGCTAATATTCACAATCTACAAAGAACTAAAACAGATTTACAAGAAGAGAAAAACAAATCCATTCAAAAGTGGGCTAAGGATATGAACAGACACTTTCAAAAGAAGACACATATGAGGCCAAAAAACATGAAAAAAATGCTCATCACTGGTCATTAAAGAAATGCAAATCAAAACCACACTGAGATACCATCTCACGCCAGTTAGAATGGCGATCATTAAAAAATCTGGAGACAACAGATGCTGGAGAGAATGTGGAGAAATAGGAACACTTTTGCACTGCTGGTGGGAGTGTAAATTAGTTCAGCCATTGTGGAAGACAGGGTGGCAATTCCTCAAGAACCTAGAAATAGAAATTCCATTTGACCCAGCAATCCCATTACTGGGTATATACCCAAAGGATTATAAATCATTCTATTATAAAGACACATGCACATGTATGTTCACTGCAGCACTGTTTACAATAGCAAAGATCTGGAACCAACCCAAATGCCCATCAATGATAGACTGGACAAGGAAAATGTGCCACATATACACCATGGAATACTATGGAGCCATAAAAAACGATGAATTTGTGTCCTTTGTAGGGACATGGATGAATCTGGAAACCATCATTCTCAGCAAACTGACACAAAAACAGAAAATCAAACACTGCATGTTCTCACTCATAGATGGATGTTGAACAATAAGAACACATGGACACAGGGAGGGGAGCATCACACATTGGAGTCTGTTGGGGGGGACTAGGGGAGGGACAATGAGGGGTGGGAGTTTGGAGAGGGATAACATGGGGAGAAATGCCAGATATAGGTGACGGGGGGATGGAGGCAGCAAACCGCTTTGCCGTGTATGTACCTATGCAACAATCCTGCATGATCTGCACATATATTCCAGAACCTAAAGTACAATGGAAAAAAAAAGTTCAATGACAGTAATAAAACAATAGTAATACAAGAAAGAAGACATAATACAATCTGAGTGTGACAGTACTGATGAGGACACATCAGATACTTTTGTAGTCATTGTAATACAGTGCTGAACAACACAAATTACATGCATTTTACATTCCAGCTGGCACAACATCAACAAATAATATCACAACAATGAGAGTGCTATCAAGGAAATGCAGCCACCCAGGTGCATAGAGAGTGACAAAGGGGCGGTGACTGCTTTAGAAAGGATGACCAGAGAAGTTCCATGAGGAGGCAATTTTGAGTAGACCTGAGAAAGGTTTGGGAGGAAATCACCAGGTATATAGAGATGAGAATGGTTTAGGAGGGAATAGAGAAAATATTTTAATGCTTTGGACTAATATTACAGAGAGTAAAACTTCAAAAAAAATCCAACTGTTGATTGACTATAGTTGATTATGTAAACTGTAAATTAAGAAACTGAAGTATTTTCCAAGTCCCATTTCCAAAGGCCAGTCTCCACCCTCCCCCAAAAATGTATGCCAGTGATGTTTTACATCTGTAGCATAGATAAAAATTTCTTTAAATTTCCTTTTTTTCTGACCATCTGAATTCAGAAACAATATGTGCAAGGCAAAAGTAAGCATGCTAATTTGGTGGTTTAACATTCGTTGGAGTTTAAAAGTTCTTCAATATATAACACATTTTTATAAATTACTTGGTAAAACTGTTTGAAATGACTTTCATAAAAAGTGAAAAAAATTAATTACAAATCTCAATCTTCCTGAGGTATAATCATTATTTTACATTCTACAAATTAAATATATAAAACACAATACACACACTACATCGTGAACAGTAAACTGGCAGTAATGTTTGAGGGGAAACTATTTAAGTAACTGAAATCGTTCGTATAGATTAAATTTATAATTCACAGGAAGGGAACTCTATTCATCCTAGAAGGCTCTGCCTATGGCACCTCTCCTCTAATGGTTCCCCCATCCCTATTTCCTCAGACACAATCAGATTTACAGTCTTTTCTACTCCCATTGCACCTATTCCATGCTCTACACCTCCTGCTAAATTGCATGTTAACTGTTTGCCTCTTTACAGTTCCTCCTACCCCCACCAACAGACTATGAGATCATTTGTTTTATCTACTTTGATTTTCCTTTAACACTGCCTAGGATTTGTACATTGATAGGACAGGATTTTATTGTTAATTATGAGCAATCGCATGACCAAGTTGAGCAAGACAAATCCTGCACTAGGTAAGACTAACGGTTCACATTCTAGTAGAGGAGAAAATATAGACATGAATCATTAACATAGTGATCTATTCATGAAATGTATGCACCAGGTAGAGCAGCGACTCTGCCTGGATTTGTATTCCTGAGGAAGTAACTAGTCAGCTGAGCTCTTCAACAAGCATTAGGCATTAACTCTGCTGGTGATGTGCTGGATGGCTAGTGAATAGAAAATTGAATAGAAAGACCATTTACCTTCTCTCCAAAGATTTACAATCTTGAATGAATAGTTCCAGTAACGACGGCACAGGTAGTCAATAAGGTAGCAAGGCTAATAGCCAATTGGTTAAACTGTTAAAATATTGAACTCTTCTATACCAGTGGTCAATAGCAGCGACTACAAGCACCTGTCTATTTGTTCTTTAACTCCCCTCAGTACTCCCAATCCCCTCTCATATGACCCTTAGACCTTCCTGTGTTCCAGCAGGTAAACAGTCACCACTACAAGCACCTCTATATTTGTTCCTTACTCTACCTTCCCTCAACACTCCCAATCCCTTCTTATATGACCCTTAAACCTTCTGTATTCTAGTAAGTAAAGGGTCAGTGCCTTCATGTGCTAAACATTTTACATATAAATCCAAGGGATGCATTTGCTAAGAAAGAAAACAAAAATTACAAGCCTTGAAATAGCAGTGAGTATTTGGTAAAATGCAGTTAAAAGCCAGGGTATTAAGTTCAAGTTGGGGAAAATAAAATGGAATTAAAGAATTGAGAAGGGCAATGAAGAGCCACAGACAAATTTTAAGCAATTTCTGCTTTTAAAACAAAATTCTGTGCAACTTAGTATTTAAGGGCTTGTCAATATTTGTCGAATATGATGATGCTAATACTAATTTGCACAAACCTCTAACCAATGGGAGAAAAAGAAGCTTTCATAAATATGGACTTAGATACAGGGAATTTATCTCCTTATCTATACAAATTACAGACTCTCTTATTCTACTGTTACTTTGCAGTTGGTGATTTCAGTATTATAGACATGAATACTGAGAATTAATTAGGGGAGGAAAATCAAACTTGGCTGATCTGGGCTGTTTTTTCTTCTATTTTGTTCAGAACTTTTAAACAAATAGTATGACTAAATGCTGATAAATAAGTTTATTCATCCTTGTGAACAGGCATGAGATTACTCAGAAATGTTGGATTAAAAAGGGCCCATAAGAAAGGTTTGACTGTATGTAAGTATCAATAGGATGGGTTCTCCATTACTTTATTTATTTATATTCAGAAGAGAAATTCCTTATTAATGAATGTACTGAATGAAAATTAAACACTCAAAACAGGACCTGAACAAATTAGGACCAAAACAAACAAAACAGGACCTGCTGTTTGCTGTTTTTCCTAACTGGCAGTTATTGCTTTGTAGATACTACAAATCACAATATCATTCCTATCATTATATGTATAATATGTGTTCCTTCTTGTTCTACCTTAACAGTAAGTGGCAAATAAATCATTTTTATTGAATATTAATTTTCAATTTATTTCAGCAGCAAGCACCAGAATCAAAACCCAACAATCAATATAATAAGTATAGGTAACAAATAATCTGAAATTTAGCCCCATTAAGACATGTGGGTACAATGTTTTTATATTCCCTAAGGTCTGCATATTTTGGGAGCATTAAACAACAGGTTACTACAATTTAACACAAAACAGGTGCCATTTAATACTGTTTAATGTTTGAAAACTATTTATTTAATAATACAGATCATCCTAATGTGCTATAAATAATTCTTGCACAGCAGCGTATGGTTGGAAGTTTTTCCCTTTTGGAGGTTTCTTTTTTCCATTCCTCTCCAGCAACTGGCCTCCCATTGCCAGCAACTCAGGTAGATCCATGCAGTCAATCCTCTTGAATCCGTACTGGTAAGCGCTCTGGAGGAAGAACAGATTCCAATTTCTGCCAGCGCTCTGGGGGCCACAGGATATGTGTGGCATGGGCATGCAGAAGTCCCAGAGAAACCTGAGTTTATGAGAAACACGAAGAAAGCAAGAAAGAAATCATTTTATAAGAGTCGTTATTAATATCTTGAAAGCAGAATTTGATCCAGATTTATTTAACATTCCACAGAAAGGTGACGATGAATTAAAAAAAATAGTAAACACATTTTGTAGCCATTGAAATACAAAGAAAAAAATAGTAAGCACTTATATAGTATTTTTCTAGGTACTATTAAATGTAAAGTCTTTTAATCTTCACAGAAACGATTTGAATTAGGTTCTGTTAGTATTTCCTTTTTACAGATGAGAAAGCTGAGTTCGGAGGTTAAAAAACTAGCCAAAAGTCATACAGCGACCAAGTGGTTAGTCTGTCTTTAGAACCAAGCAGTTTGACTCCAGAGTCCACCATCTTAACCATTATCCTCAATCATCTGTTTGCATAGACCCACGACTCATAAATCTGGTGTATATTCTCAGAGTTTCCCACAGAGTTATTGGTATCCTAGAGAGGCTTTCTTCATGGAAAAATCACAGAGTCCTGAAATATATATATATATATATATATATATATATATATATATATGTTGTGAAAAACATTGTCCCACCTACTAGATGAGCAGCAGCAGTTAGGTGTGAGACTGGGTGGGCTGTCTCCATGGAGAGTACACTGAGTAAGGCGGAACTAGTACTCATGGAGAGAGGTGGAAAACCAAGACAAAGCAAACAAGGTGGGATGGGTAGCCAAGAAAAATAATTAAGTATACAGATCATGTCAGATGGTAAAGAATCCCCATTAGCAGAGGCAAGCAGAGACTGGCGAGGATGGAAGATGAGGTGAAGGGGAGGACTTAAGGCTGAGCCCAAAGGCAGGAACGGATCCCTTCAACATCTGAAATCTTCTTAAAGACACCAATTTCAGCGATCAGGAGAACACAGCAAACTTGTTTCAAAGGTAGATCAGGGTCTTATCTTCAGAGATTACCCTTCAACAGGTCTGAAGGGGGGCCTGGAGAGCCATGATTTTAAAAAATTGTTGTTGCTATTGTTACTATCAGGTGATATTTTTAATGATATTTAGAAGCTTACAAAATACACTCATACTTGGCACATATTTGCTGAGTGCCAGTTATAAAGTAATACTATCCATCCACTTTATTTACCATTTTATTTTCAAATGTTTTTCCTATAAATTAGACCTCCACAGAGATTAACATAAAACATTACTTTCGTTGAAGCTCTTCTTTTCACTATCACATGCATTCAAGAAATCTCTTCTATTTGCTATCATATGTATTCAGAAAAATCACATTGTCTAGGGACTCAAAGCCAGAGCTGAATATCAGGGAAGGCTTCCAAATAGATAACCAGAAACACATTGTTTACAAAGAAGAAGAAGAAAAATCTTTTAACAACAACTTGAAATACAAACTAAATAAGCACAAAGGATAGCAAGAAGCCCTAGGGCACAAAAAAGGGTTTTCTTCTTCTACTTGTTACTTTGAAAATCAGACCTATAAAAATTTGAAAGTGTGGTACAAAAAACAGCTCCACCGAAAGTCAGCATTTCCATTTTGCTGCATTCATTTCATTCTCATTATATGTGTGTCTATATATATGTTACATGTACACATCTACTTCTTTTCTAAACTGATAGTCGTTGATGTTATGCTAAATTTATGCCTGAATACTTCAACATATATCTCCTGAGAACTAAGAACTTTTCATATATGAACACAATACCATTAATATACACAAGATATTTAATGTAGATACGATATTACTTATTACATAGTCTACATTCAAAATTTTCCATTTGTCCCAGTAATGTATTTTATAGCCATTATTTAAAAAATTTAAGGTCTAATCAAGGGTCAAAAACTGCATTTATTGGTTATTACTTTGCTTCAGTTTGTTTACATTTGTTTCTTTTAATCTGGAGTCTCAACATGTTGCCTTATAAAATGTCCTAAATCTGCAATTGCTTGATTTTTTACCCTCATGACCAGAGTCAAGTTCCATCAAATCAGGAGGCACAAAATGTCAGTGTGTTTCATTGTCATGATGCCAAGTTTGATCACTTAAGGCAATATTGACTAGATTTCTCCATCATAAATAATATTTCCTTAATTAATAACTAATCTGTGAGATATTTTGCAATAATATAAATACACTATATGCCAGCTACATTTCATCTAATCATTTTAACATCCATTCATGATCCTGTCTGAATTTGGATTACAAAAATAATGATTTTCCAATTCTATTCTTTTGCATTTATTAGTTGGTATTGTTCTCTTAAAAAAAAAACTTCTTTCTGAGGAGGATCCAAGATGGCTGAATAGGAACAGCTCTGGAATGCAGTTCCCAGCAAGAACAACACAGAAGATGAGTGATCACCGCATTTCCAAATGAGTTTTCATTGCCCACACACCAGGAGATTACTGGGCCAAAATGCACCATGAATTTCCAGTGCAGCTGTTTCAGCCGGCGTCGCATTTCCACACAAAAACTCACACAAATCCAGGTGGCTGTTTCAACTGGCGCCTGGAAAGCCTGGGAGACAGAGCTGCCCATTCAACTGAAAGGCAGAGGGCTAGACAGGAAGTCAGGTGATTGGGCTTGGCAGGTCCCACACCCACAAAACCAGCAACCTGAAATTCTCTGGATTGAGAGTTTCACAGCAAGCAGACCTGAGATGGTCCAGCTCGGTGTGGGAAGGGGCATCTGCTACTACTGAGGCAGTCTGCCACTACCAAGGCAGTTCTAACTGTACCTCTGTAAACACCACAAGAGAGTTTACACAGCAGGTGGGCAGAGCCCTCAGCAGCTCAGCAATGCCTCCGCTACCAAACTGACTATACTACCTCCTTGCTCGGTGGGGGCATTTCTGAATAAAGGCAGCAGCACATCAGGAACTTATAAATAAAGCCCCACCTTCCTAGGACAGAACACCTGGGAAAAGAGGTGATGAGTTCCGCTGCACCAGACCTAAACGTATCTGCCCAGCGGCACTGCACAGAACAATGGAGCTCCCAGCACAGCACTTGAGCTCCTATAAGAAGCTGTCTCCTCAAGCAGCTCCTGGACCCCTGTATATCCAAAGAGACACCTCATAAAGGAGAGCTCAGGCTGACATTTGGCAGGTACCCTTTTGGGACAAAGAGAGCAGAAGAAACCAGCAGCAATGTGTATAGTTCTGCAGCCCCCGTGGGTGATCCCCAGGCAAGCAGGGTCTGGAGTGGACCTCCAGCAGTCCTACAGCAGAGGACCCTGTTAAATGGAAAACTAAAAATCAGGAAAAAAAATAGCTTCAACATCAACAAAAACGACATCCTCTCAGAGAACCCATCCGAAAGTCACCAACTACAAAGACCACAGTCTGGTAAATCCACAAAGATGGGAAGAAATCAGCGCAAAAATGATGAAAACGCCAAAAACCAGAACATCTCTCACTCTCCAAGGGATCACAACTCCTCACCAGTAAGGGAATAAAACTGGATGGAGAATGAGTCTGAGGAATTAACAGAAATAGGCTTCAGAAGGTGGGTAATAACAAACTTATCCAAGCTAAAGGAATATGTTCTAACCCACTGCAAAGAAGCTGGGAACCTTGAAAAAAGTTTAGACAAAATGCTAACTAGAATAAACATCTTATAGAAGAATATAAATGACTTGATGGAGCTGAAAAATACAGCACGAGAACTTTCCGAAGCATACACAAATTTCAATAGCCAAATCAATCAAGCAGAAGAAAGGATATCAGAGATAGAAGATCAAATCAATGAAATAAAATGAGAAGGCAAGATTAGAGAAAAAGAGTAAAAAGAAATGAACAAAGCCTCCAAGAAATATGGTATTATGTGAAAAGACCTAATCTATATTTGATAGGTGTACGTGAATGTGATGGAGAAAATGAATCCAAGCTGGAAAACACTCTTCAGGATATTATCCAGGAGAACCTCCCCAACCTAGCAAGGCAGGCCACCATTCAAATCCAGGAAATATAGAACACACCACAAACATATTCCTCAAGAAGAGCAGTCCCAAAGCATGTAATTGTCAGATTCACCAGGGTTGAAATGAAGGAAAAAATGCTAAGGGCAGCCAGAGAGAAAGGTCAGGTTACCCACAAAGGGAAGCCCATCAAACTCGCAGTAGATCTCTCAGCAGAAACCCTACAAGCCAGAAGGGGTGGTGGGGGGGAGGCAGTATTCAACATATTCAAAGAAAAGAACTTTCAACCTAGAATTTCATATCCAGCCAAATTAAGCTTCATAAGTGAAGGAGAAATAAAATCCTTTACAAATAAGCAATTGCTGAGTGATTTTTAACACCACCAGGCCTGCCTTACAAGAGCTCCTGAAAGAAGCATTAAACAAGGAAAGGAATAACCAGTACCAGCCACTCCAAAAGCATACCAAATGGTAAAGACCAACACAATGAAGAAAACACATCAACTAACGGGCAAAACATCCAGCTAGCATCAAAATGGCAGGATCAAATTCACACATAACAATATTAAACCTAAATGTAAATGGGCTAAATGCCCCAATCAAAGTCACAGGCTGGCAAATTGGATAAAATGTCAAGAACCATCAGTGTGCTGTATTCAGGAAACCCATCTACCCATCTCATGTGTAAGGACACACATAGGCTCAACATAAAGGGATGGAGGAAGATTTACCAAGCGAATGGAGAGCAAAAAAAAAAAAAAAAAAAAAAAAAAAAAAAAAGCAGGAGTTGCAATCCTAGTCTCTGATAAAATGGACTTTAAGCCAACAGAGATCAAAAGAGACAAATAAGGACATTATATAACGGTAAAAGGATCAATGCAACAAGAAGAGCTAACGATCCTAATTATAAACACACCCAATACAGGAGCACTCAGATACATAAAGCAAGTTCTTAATGACCTACAAAGAGACTTAGACTCCCACACAATAATAGTGGGAGACTTTAGTGCTCCATTGTCAATATTAGATCAATGAGACAGAAAATTAACAAGGATATCCAGGACTTGAA